GGGCACCCAGGACCCCGCAGGCAGCCACCAGGGCAGGCCCGCACACACCCCACCACCCAGCCCCAGCTGCTGAGAGCCGCCAATGTACCGGTGGCAGGGGGGCCCACCACCGGAGGGGAGCACGACCCACCAAATGGGGGGCCAAAACTGGTCCAAGAGAGGGGGCCACCCAAAACCCAACCTGAGACAAACAGGCACACAGAGACAGCCCGACAGAGCCTCTGTTGGGCCATCCATGCACCCCACCCTCCCAACAGTGACCGCAAGCCGGCCTCAGGCCGGGGGCCAGAGCAGCAGGGAGCAGCAGCTGAGGAAGGCCGGCCCAGCGCACCAATGCATCCCTAAAGCCCCACACCACAGGCCCGGAGAAGCCCCGGCATACCACCCATGCACCACCCCCCCCCACACACACACACACCACCCTGCACCGTGAATGCCACATCAGGCCGACCAGCCAACACTCCGTCGAAGTGAAGCCACACCCCCGACCGCCGCCACACACTACCAATGACCACACACACAAAACCACAGCCGACCTCCTGCCAGAACCCGGCAGCCACCCCAGCCAAAGGGCTGGCCATCGGAACCAGGAACCCCGATCAAAGGATCCAAACAATCCAGGGAGAACCGGAGCACCAGCCCCACCCCCAATCGCCCCCAAAGGCCCAATCCCCCCCCCGCCCCACCCCCCCCCCCGCGCCCCCCCCCCCCCCCCCCCCACGACCCCAAATGTCAGACAGAGAATGAGGGTTTAAGGAAAACTGGAAGACCCAACTCCTCCCTCCCCCCACTCAAATAAGATGTTGATGCATGTTGTTATATAGTGCGTTTAAAATGGGGGGGGGGGGGATGAGGCGGCAACTGGCACAGACCCACCCCCCTCCCCAGAGAGCAGGCAGTGCCCATTCGCCCCCCCCAACCCTTGCCCAGAACCCTAAATGTCTACATGCTACATATGAGAGTGGGCACAGGTCCCGGAGGTGAGAATGATTACACATCCCACCCCCTATATGCCACCATGTGCCCACTCCAGACCCTATATATGCATGTGTTGTGAGAATGTTATATGCGAGTGTCTAGGTTGTTTGATAAAATTGGGGCCCAGGTCTCCATGAACCACGGAGATGGAGGATCCTCCCCGCAGCTCAGTAGTGCACCTGAACCCCAAGGCCCTGCTTGAGTGGTGGTGTGATGGAGTGGGTGGAGGAAGACGTCGAGATGGGGAGGAACAACTGAGGTGGCAAAGCCCTCCCAGGGGGCCAGCTCCCCCACTGACCCCAATAGGCACCCCCATTCTCTGAGATCCACCAGGGGAGGGAGGCTCCAGTGCATCCATCTAGGAGCAGGAGGCAGCCGCACCAACAGGGACCCAGGCCACGGACCGGCACATAGCCCCGAGGACCGACCAGAACCCGGGCCAGCGACCCAAGCCCCCCCGAGATCGTCCAGACCCCCAACCCAATCCCCAGCTCAACACCCAGCCCCCCAACCAAAGAAGCCACCAAACTCCAGCAGCGACAATCAGCCAGGATTGCCTGAACAGCCGCAGACAGCAACTGGGTTGATTTTAAAGGTTAATCACTTATAGATGTAATCTAATAATTTTCTGATAGATTCAGTAAAATCTGTTTCATAGTTCACAAGGTATTTTTCTATCAGACTGGCAGATTTGACTATTAGTTTTAAACAAAGAAATTGCACAGGATCGTAGCACTAAGAGTATGTCTCCAGTATTACCACACCAGTCTCAGCTCCTGCAAAAATTGACAGAATTATAAACATTTGCCCTTTAAAGTGTAATGGTTCATGAACGAGACACGCAACATACAGTAGATACAGGCAAAAACTTTACTGCCTGCCTTTTGGTGAAGGCAGTATTTATTGAAAACTCACGGAATAACCAAAGGGCCTGTGATCAGAAGATCGCTGGATCAACTCCCGGTACCGACAACATCAAAATGTGGGTGGGATTGGTGAAACACCCAAACTTGTCTCCACCCTTATTTTCCTCACTCTGGGTCCTTGAGCAAGGCCCTTAACCCCCATCGTCTGCTCCCCCAGGCGCCCTAGATAGCAGCTCTCTGCTCCACACAGAGGCTGTGGTAGCTCGGTGTCTGTGGTTGCATCAGGAAGGACAATTCGAACCTAAAAATAACTGCCAAGTCTTCGTGCGACTTAGTTCACTGTGGCGCCCCCTGATGAAGGGAGCAGCCGAAAGAAGAAGAAAGAACCAAAGCTCTTAAACATGCTTCAACAGAAATGTATTTTCTTCAATACATTTAGCTTGAAAATATTCATCAAAACATTATAACAGAAGATAACATATAATAACGGAACTCTGCCAGGCTGCTCATTGTCACCAATTCTTTATAACTTTTATGGACAGAACTTCTCGGTGCAGCCACGGGACGAAGGGAGTCCAGTTTGATGGCCTCAGGATTCCATCTCTGCTATATGCAGATGATGTGGTTCTGTTGGCATCCAGGAGAGACTCAGGGTAGAGTTACGGATCCTCCATATCAAGAGGAACCAGTTGAGGTGGTTCAGCCATCTTGCAAGGATGCTCCCTGGATGCCTCTCTAGAGGGGTATTCCAGGCATGTCCAACTGGAAGGAGACCCTGAGGGAGACCCAGGACATGCTGGTGAGACTGTGCCTCAGCTGGCCTGGGAATGCCTTGCAGTCCCCCCAGAAGAACTGGAGGAGGTGGCTGGGGAAAGATAGCTGGGCCACTCTGCTAAAGCTGCTGCCCCCGTGAGCTGACTCTGCAACATGGATGGATGGATGGATGGATGGATGGATGGATGGTAAAGGAAAAGACTTTAATAATAATTTCTCAAAGTAATTTTAGTTCATAAATCTTGACAGCTATAATTCTTAGATCTTGTATATCCCAGAGTTACAGTAAGTGATTCTTTCTTCTTGTTGTCTTCAGTCATACTCCAGAACTAAATGATCTAATGTGCTGTTAAAGGAAACCAGAACATGTTCTAAAACTGGCCTGTTTTTCTTAGTATATTGAAGGGAACAATCAATTCTCCAACAGCCAGTCCCACAGCACACCGTCACTTTAGCCTGCAGGTACTGTACATAATGAGTTCCTTTCTTTGTCATCGAGGTAAATACAGTCCACGATGCATGTCTGCTGTGGTGAAATATTACTGCTGAGTTAAGAGGTTGGCTGAACTCGACTTGAACTGACTTTCCACTGAATAAAAAAAAAATGCATACAAGTACGCAACTGGAAAAACTCCATCCATAAAATGCAGCTGATGAATGGTAGCTCACAGTCAGGCTTTGTTGGCAGTAAAGGACTGTTGAAAATATAATGTGTGAAGGATAATTGAATGATTTAGAAAAACTCTTCAATAAATACTAAAGTTCAGGGAAAAAATGGAAGATGTGTATAGTTTATGCATCAGTTGACTCATTGTCTTATGGTATTTTATCCTTTTTTTTTTCCATAGCACGAGTGGAACAGGTACAAGTGGTTAAAAATCAGACTTTTCTATTATGAAGTGCACAGGTCATTTAATGGATGTCATGGGATGCAGTTTTCAATTTTCAAGCAACGTGGTATGAATCACCCGAGCGGTTGTTTGATCCACGTAATTATTCCACTGACAATTATGACGACAGAGCACCAAGGAGGGTGAGGTGATACTAGGCCGATTTTTGTTCTCTAAATGTCACCATAACTTTTTTATGTGTGAGGCAACAGTTTGAGAACATGAACAACAAAAGGGCCGACATTGATCAGCCTCAACTTTACCCCTCATCTTTCAGCAGATCTGTTGGCCCTGTGTGTAGAGCTGTCATTTCTAACCTGAACCCGAAACCCAGCCCAGACCGACCCGGATTAGGGCTGTGCCGGGGCGTTATAATGTGATTAATGGGCGGGCTGGGGCGGTCTCGGACTTTTAAGTAGGTCTCGATCAGCCGCGATCCAATTATATGATAACATGGCCTGCCATACATTCACCAGCCACACGCGGCCATTTCACCGCGAGCTGACCGGCCTTGAAAGAGTTCAGTTAAGCTTCATATGCTTCATCTGCTGGTGTTGGTCCACTGTGTTTTCTGAGGTCCAAGGTCAACGCAGCATCTACCAGGAAGTTTTAGAGACTTCATGCTTCCTGCTGATGACCAACTTTATGGAGATGCAGACTTAATTTTCCAACAGGACTTGGCACCTGCACACAGTGCCAAAGATACCAGTACCTGGTTTAAGGACCATGGTATCTCTGTTCTTAACTGGCCAGTAAACTCTCCTGACCGTAATCCCATTAAAAAATCTATGAGTTATTGTGAAGAGGAAGATGTGACACACCAGAGCCAACAATTCAGAAGAGCTGAAGGTCACTATCAGAACACCTGAGCAGTGACACAGACTGATCCACTCCATGCCACGATGCATTGATGCAGTGATCCAGACAACAGGAGCAACTACTAAGTATTGATGCTGCACATGCTCATACTTTATGTTCATACTTTCCATGCTCACACTTTTCAGTTGGCCAACATGTCTAAAAATCCTTTTTTTTTATTGGTCTTAAGTAATATTCTAATTTTCTGAGATACTGAATTTGGGGTTTTCATTAGTTGTCAGTTATAATCATCAACATTAAAATAAACATTTTAATATATCAGTCTGTGTGTAATGAATGAACATAATACACACGTTTCACTTTTTGAATGGAATTACTGAAATAAATCAACTTTTTCATGATGATCTAATTTCATGACCAGCACCTGTACTTCTTGGGTAATATTTTCAGCCACAGCTTGACTGCAGCATGTGTCTGTCACAGGAAAGCACTGGCAAATAGTTTTTCAAGGAGGAGCAAAGGTAGCAGTCTATGTTCAGAATATCCTCAGAGTTCAGAGGTTTGAGGCTTGTTTGGCTGAGGCTCCTGCAACAACTTCCTCTACAGTTACACCCGTAGTATTTTCATGTATATTTTCTTTCATTTACTTTTCTTGTTTTGTTTCTTTTCCTAGTCTCCCCTGAAGAGCACCAGTAGTGATTGGTCATTCTCAGAGTTGGACGTTTTGCTGTTGGCAGGAACTGTGGGTCACACTCTCAGCTTGGCAGCCAGCAGTTTTGTAGAGGAGGAGCATCAGACCTGGTATTTCTTGCTCAACACACTCTGCCTCGCCATCTTTCAAGACGTCTGCCGCAAGTATTTCAGGGAGCAGAGGGGCTCCGGTGATGAAGAGGAGCACATCCTCCCTTCCAAAGACAGTCATCTGTCAGTTCAACACAAACCAGGGATCTGCTCAGAGAAGTGGCTAGCTTTGGCCACACCGCCCTTCACTCTGGTTTGCTGTAGAATGCTGCGCTCCCTCAACCAAACAGGAGTTCAGTGGGCTCATCTTCCTGATGTCGGCCATTGGCTTAACAGGTTAGCAAGAACAACGAGCTCCGATATCTACTGAACGAGTTCAAGTAATTTGTCTTTCTGTGGAAAATGTTCAGTTTTCAGTGACGTCTACAAGTTTTTTCTTACATTTTTCCTGGTAAAGACAGTTTTATAACCAAAAGAGAAGAGTTACAGTAGTGAGTCATTCCATGGTAAATGGTTCAACCTATCTATGCTGGCTTGTTTATAAAAAGAGTGTACTTAAGATCAGTAGTTTGTTTGAAATATAGTACATAAATCCCTTAATAATAATAATTAACAATAATAATTGTAAAAAATTTAATAATTAAGTAATAAAGGCCTGACAAGTACCTATAATTTAGTACTTGCCGATACTGAGCACCAGTATGAGTACTAAAAAATGCCATTACACTTCTTACAATAACTTTGAGATGTTTGAAAATCAGAGGAACTTAACGTTGAAGCAGAGAATGAGAATCATTAGATTAAAATTGATCTTGACGTTTCTGTATTGACTCTTCAAATGAAGCCAACAGAAATAGTTTTTTCTAAAAGCGTCCGTTGGTGAGTGGTGGGATTGTTGATTCTGTATGTTCTCAGGGCCTCTCCTGCTCAGTGGCAGACTAGCTGTATCCTGCTTCTATTAACAAACACTTTGAGTTTGTGTAGTGTTGGATTTTCAGACGTGTTGTCAAGTTGGTTGTGTTGAAAGTGCTACATTTGTTCTGACTTTTGACAAATGTGCTGTGCATAGTTTGCAGTCTACTTTGGTCACAGTTGTTCATGTTAAAATGCCTACACACAGTTAGTTTCTCTGTCTTCTGGTGGTCAGGAATATAAATTAGGACAGCAACTCAAATCAAGGTAAAAATAAATAAAAATAAACCTTCCCCCAAACTGCCCCTCATCTACCATCTGACTGCTCATTTGAGAGGTGAATGTCACGCTGCCATACAGTGCTATTGGAACATATTTATAGGTATAAGTATGTGTACTTACACATTGTACGATACCTGGTCCAGGTAGTCGTATCAGTGCATCCCTAGTTATTATTATTCAGCGGGTTAGACTGAGACTTTCTGGGCTGTAGCCTCAAATGTTCTCAGTTAGAGGACAGATCCAGTGCAGGTTTCAAACTGCAGCTCAAGTGTTCTAAAGTTACAGAAACTACACTGAGGATTTGAGACGCCTGCAGCAACTTTGTGACTATTGCAACAGAAAATTTGTCACGGAAAGTTTTTGAGCATGTTCAAATTTAAAACTGCAAGCCTCTGCCACTGGTGGTGGGAAATTAAGACCCCCCATGAACGTTGTTTGCTAAATATTCTCCAACAGTTGCAAACCTGAGAGATTCTGGATTCATGTGTAGGTGCTGTTTGTAACATGTTTAAAATAAAGTCAAAGGAAGCTCAAGTGATCGTAAGAGGCTAATAATAAGAAAGAAAGATGTTCCCTTGAGCTCTTGCTGCTGCCCACTTTACTGCTCAGGATGAGGGTTTTATTTAAGTGCTGCCACATCAATAGGTGGCACACTTTAAGTCCAACTCACCATGTGAGACTTTTACTTTGCAATCAGAGAGCAAATGTAAATACAGTTTTTATAGTTTAATTGTTGTGATTATTGTGCTGTCATTTGCCACTGTTAGAATAAAACAAATAGCAAATGTATTAATCAGCCATGCTCTTCCCAAGTAAATCAAGGTTTTTCCCTCCCAGATATTGTTATAACCTAGGTCGTAGAAAAGACTGGACTGTGTTGTGATATGATGCACATTTATGTTCTGAAGTGTGCATGAAAGCTGCAAAATGATAAAAAACCTATCATCTGTCTTAAAAAGGAGAGAGGGAGAGGAGGAGGAGGACAGATGATGTAAAGGTAGTAAATCAAGAAGTGCTGATGATTAGTAAGGAGGAAGAGAGCGGAGCTTCCAGAAGGATGAAGGATGAAAAGGTGGTTGGTTCACATAATATTTCTAAATGGAGTGTACATATAGAACACCTTTCTAACTAATCAAGATACTCAAAGTGCTTTACAACACAATCTGCCTCATTTACCTACACACTCACTCACACACACACACACACACACACACAGGTTTGTTTTGCTATTGGGGCCTTTGCATTGACTTCCATTCATTTTTCATTCATTTCTATAGCCTAACCATGACCTTTATCCATAACCTAACCATTACCAGTACATACCTAACCCTAAACCTAACACATCCTCAATTCACACCTTCGTCCTAAACCTAGCCCCTAACCCACCAACGGGATTTCTTCTTATGGGGCCCGGGCTTTGGGCCCCATAAGGAGCAGTTGGTCCCCACAATGTAGTATAAGTTGGAAAAATGGGCCTCACAAAGTAGCATAAACAAGGACACACACACACACACACACACACACACACACATTCATACACTACTAGATCTCTACAAAGACTAATCAGAGCTTTATCACATTCACACACTGATGGACACACATCAGAGGCAACGAGGGGTTCATTGTCTTGCCCAGGGACACTTCAGCATGTGACTGCTGGTGGAATTGAACCCCTGACTTTCCCATTGGAGGACGACTGCTCTAACCACTCAGCCACAGCTGCACATGCTCATGCAGCCCATGAAGATGTATAGGAAAGAACAGTGGCCTTTTTACCCAGAATGTTTAATACAATCTTAGATACAACAAAGTCCTTCGTTGTTTCCAACCAGTTTGACACGACTGTCAACGAGGAAGAGGGACGGCAATGGAGGAGGGGCGTGACAAAGAGACCATCTTAGCACCAACCAAACTGGTTTGTTCCACTTTGGAGTAAACTGTTGGGGGAAGAATCAGTTTTTTTGTGTGTTTCCTTGACTGATGAAGCCTTCTGGATGGAAGGTGAAACGTTTCAACAAAAAATGAAACTGTCCAGATGACCTGACTGAAGAATGTTGGATTGTATACCTGGATTATTGAGCATGGACTTTTTTGGTTTTAACACTGAAAATATTTTGGAGGACGCATGTGACAACTCTGCATCTTGAGACAACATTTGACACACAAATATTTTGTACCTGTTCAAAATTCAAGTGCCAAGACTCACAGGAGGAAACTGGGACCCCCCAGGAATGTTTCAAGGCAATTTGGAAAATTTTCCACAGGTGCTATTCAGCAGCTGGTCATCAACACAGCTCAGTGAGATATTAGCTGTACAAAGACTGAGGAAGTGGAGAGGTGTGCAGCAGGACAAACAGGTGTGTGTGTGTGTGTGGTGGTGGTGGTGGGGGGGGGGGGGGTTGCATCAGGCTTCAGCTCCAACACTCTTGATTTGCAGTGTTGATGGACAGGTTGACAGATGAGGTCATCCAGACATTTCCAGGGATTATGATGTTTGTAGATGACATTGTGCACCATAGTGTAGGGAGCAGGTGGAAGAGAGCCTGAAGAGATGGAGGTCTTCTATGCAGAGATGAAAACTGAAAGTCAGTTGTAGAGAGAGAGAATACATTTGTTAATGAGAGGGAGAGAGGTGGAACAGTGAAAGGGAAGACTTACAAGATGGTAGTGAGACCTACTGTGGCATATGTTTTGAAGATAGCACTTTAGTTTCATTGAAAATGATCAAAATGAACAGGATTATAAATTAGTATATTTTAGGGACAGCTTAAGTTGAGCAGTTTGGAGGCAACGTTAAGAGAGGCTAGGCTGACATGATTTAGACCTGTAGAGCGGTGATAGTGAGCCTAACGGACAAGAGATGTTGAACGTGGAGCTGCCAAAGAGGGAGGGCGGGGGAGTCCACTGAGAAGGTTTGAGGGTTTTGCAGAGGATGATGTTCAGAGGGTTGGTGTGACAGAGCAGGATTATAGGACAGAGTGGAATAAAAGCTGATAATCTGCTGTTGTCACCTCTAAAGGGAGCAGCCAGAAGAAAAATCAAATAGAAGGAAGTTTAAGGTTGGCTTGTTTTTGATTGGGATTCTATAAGGATTTTTTTAAAGGTCTCTGTTCAACTACCTGGAATATAATTTGATGCATGCTCAATAATCCAGGTAGAAAAATCTAAAACGGTTAAGTCAGGTCCTCTGGATGGGATCAAAAAACAAAAAACTGTAGACACATTTGGTCTTTAATCCAAAAGACTTCTTCAGTCGGACTTAATGTGACTGAATAAGTTTTTTGGGTGAAAGGTGAAACCTTTCTACAAGGTTTTGTTTTTTGGAACCCGTCCAGAGGACCTGACTTACCTGGAATATATATTTTCAAATTACCAGTGACGCAGAGAAACAAATTTCACTAACCTGGTGCTTTTTTGTAGAAAATATATATTTTTACACAGTTATAAGCTTTCCCCCAAAAGTCAGAATCCAGAACCAACCTGAAAAACTGCCGTTGATGTTCCTCCTTTATAACTTTGTACTGAGTGGGTATATTGACCTTAGGACTTCCATAAGAACTGCAGTTTATCAGTCTTTGGTCGTGACATCCCTTTTTTCATGTCTACATTTGGGAACATGAAGGTAGCAGGACAAAACTAAACCCTGTTTTCAACTTGGTTAAAGGTGAAGTGTGAGAAAAACAGACCATGGTCAAATAAAAGTTTATTAGCTCTTTTGTTGTTTAAGGACTGAAGTTCAATAATCTGAGATTAATGGATTCCAAAAAAGAAGTGATGATGTAGCGTGTGAGCAGACGAGAGGAGCTTCCACTCTGCGATCCACAGAGGTACGAAACCATCCGTGATGCTCGCATGCAGGAAAACAGGGATTTCTCTATAAGCCCAGAACTGTTCCACGGCCATTAATAATCCAACAACAGCACAGGGCAAGGGATTACAGTTGTTCTTGAACATGCATCACATTGTGGAATAGAGATGTGGATTCTGACCTTTTCTCAGTCCTGACTCGCCCTTTCCGTGTACCTGCTCCGCCTGCTGCTTGGATAATGAGATCCAGGTAGCCTTCTGCCTCCTCTTGTCTTAAAGTCTCCACCTGCTGTCCGGTGCTACTAATGGCTGAGCACACAGCTTCCACTCACCGTTCATGTGTCCTTTGAGGCCTTATTATTTCCTGCCCAACATTCCTAACTGCATGCTCTTGAATCCAGTCAACAGTTTGAAACGTGTCTTTTTCAGGATGTGGCAAAGTGTTTTCATGTTAACAGAGGGTTCACTACAAGTGTCAAATGGAACAGCCTTGTCCGTCTGTGCTCAGGTGTAAATAAATGAATACACCAGCAACAATGTGCACAACATTTTTAATATGAAAAAGTCTTTTTTTAATGGTAAAAGCGTCCATTCGTTTTTTGTTGTGTTTTGGCAGCTCTGAGCACAAGCTGGGACTCTCCCTGCTGTCTGCCTTCTGCTTGGTTCTGATCTACCTCCTGGTTCAAAGACGCTGCTCGCTGGTCTCCAAGGTCGCCCTGGCTCTCGGACTTCTGGGCGTCTACAGCTACCGGGCTGCTGTTGGCAACGTCTTGTTTCCCTGGCAACACTCCAGTCGAACTACATCCAAGTAAGTTTTGTGAAGTGCTGGAAGATAGTGTGACTTACTGCTACACCAGTTTCTGTCCCTTGACAGTGAGCTGGTTTAAAGTGCACGTGTCTCGCTGCGATGCAAATGAGCGAGCAGGATATAATGCAACCGCCACCTGGGACACACACTAAGATTGAATCATTAACTGGGATGATAAACTGCTGAACACTTGCTGCTGTTGTTGTTGTTGTTTTGCTGCTCACCTACCTACAGTCAATATTGCTGCTCCAATGTGTCTTCAAGCCATAAAAAAGTCCGACAGTATTTTAAATTAAATTGATTTTACAGAAGGTGGCATCAAACAACCTGTGACAGTTGATTTTTATTGGCAGCTTTTTTTGTTTGTTTCATCAAAGCCTCAATTTTTACTTCCTGACTGCTGCAAAAGTGATAAATCTGAAATGATCTTGTCACAGCATCAAGCAATAAGCTGCTTAGTGAGACTTGTGCATATAAGGGCAGATATACTTTGAACTTTTTAAGCTTTTATGACTTAACTACAAAGCCCACATTTCATCATGTTACAGTGTTCATACAGAGCAATAACTGGTTAATTAGTTCAAAGTGAAACATCTGTTGGTGTTATTGCTATGGATCTTTGAACAGATGTTCTAGTATTTCTAAGCATAAATCTTGAATTATTTTGGTGTAATATGACCTGGCAAGTTTGGCATCAGATTTTATCACAATTATTGGCAGTTTGTCTCCGTCATCTGTACATTTTCTGTATTATGAAACTCTTTTTGTTTGTGCATTAAAATGAGATCATAAACCCATAATCTAAATAAAAATAAACACTAAAAGCAAATGTGGTAAAACATAAAGGATCTTGATGCAAAGGAGGAAGTCAAGTTTTATTTGGAGGTGTTTGTTAGAGCAGCAGTTCAGATTGCTTCAAGTAGGGACCAGTGGAAAGCTTTTCACCGGTACTATCCTACCTGTTGTAGATAACTCTGAAGCAGCTCAGTTTGGAGGTACAGGTTTTTCTGACTGAACGGACGAGCTACGAGCTGTTCAAAGCACGGCCAACACCAAACACTGTTTCTGCCGTCTTAAACTCCACTCTCAGTAATGTTGTAGTGGTTCAGGTGAACGCTCATTCTTTGAACGCCTTTGCATCCTGTTCATTTCAAAATGCACAGCGATTCACTTACAATGTTAGGGATGATTACAAATGCAGGTTGGTAGGACAGTTTTACACATGCTGAGCTAAAAGTTGGTATAGTGACAGCTGAGAGGCATTAACAGCACATACTACAAGCACTAACGAATCACAGCAAAGCTTGCGTTAGATTGTGCGTATTGTTAATGTCAGGACGTGAACCAAGCAGCTAGAACCCCCTGGTTTCTCAACAGAACATGATCTTAGTTTAAAACTCAGGCAGACAGCAATATACATGTCCTTGACAAGTGCCAGACATTTAAAATAAGATACTTTTTGAGAAGACTTTGGATTTCTTGAACCTGCAGACAGCCCCTGGCATTTCCCTGCAACAAGAATTCACTCTCCTTTGCCCTCCAGCTGTAATCAAGCACACTAGCTGCATAATCATGCTGATTTTTCACACTACATGACAAACAATCACCTGGTGCCACCCCTTCAGTGTCCAGAGCTTTTACAATGTTTGTGTTCTCCAACTCAGCCTGGATGAGTTTCATCACGTTAACTGAAGCTTCCAGAATGTATCGCGCGTCTTTACTTGGGTTTATATCGTCTTTCCTTGCACTCTAGATCGTTTCCATTGCTTGAAAAAAAAGAGATTGTTAATGTTTAGTTTGTAAATTTGAGTTTGTCTGAATTCTCAACCCCGTCAGAAAATAACATGTTCAGAGTTGCTGACCTGTTTTCATGGGCCTGCAGTACCAGCTCGTTCTGCCCCGTTCTGTTTGACGGCCTCTTCGACCCGCTCACCTAGAGGCTCGAGCCCTCCCCCATCTCTCACCTGACATGCAGGAACTCTGGCTGCTTTTCATGAACACATGATTAGGTTGACCCAGGCTTTCAGCTTTTCTTTAAGATCGTAAAACGTGTGTGATGCTTCACAGGTTCAGTTCTGGCTTTCATGAATGTAGGTCGACATCACAGCTGCTGTGTTTTAAACAGCCACAACATGAAAACCAGGGACATATCAGACTTGTTACATTTACAATACAAGGTTTTCTCTAAACTTTGGAAGTAATTAAACTATATAACAAGTATGAGCTAGAGTTTTGTTTTGTCCTCTCAAAACCAAACACGTCTTTCTTTGGTCAGTCATGATGGAGCACCAGTTTTTATTGTCACAAGATGATGCATCCATCCATCATCTTTTACCCACTGCTTCCATTTTGGGTCACGGGGTTCACTGGTGCCCATGTCCAGCAATCACTGTGCAGAGGTGGGGTACACCCTGGACAGGTCTCCAGTCCATCACAGGGACACATAGAGACAAACGAGACAAACAACCATTCACTCTCTCACTCACACCTAGGGACAATTTAGAGTTACCAATCAGTCTTACATGCATGTTTTTGGTCTGTGGGAGGAAACCGGAGTACCCGGAGAAAACCCACGCATGCACGGAGAGAACATCCAAACGGCACCCAGAAAGACCCCTGGACCGGGATTTGAACCAGGGACCTGCTCGCTGAGAGGCAGCAGCTCTACCAGTTGCGCCACTGTGCTGCCTCAAAATGATGCAACAAAATGTAATTATTTTTGACTAGAGTTGATGCTGCGAATGTTTCTCACAGGTGCAACATGTGCATGCAAACATTTACATGCACATGTTGCACCTTTAAGAGAAAAAAAGTGTGTCAGGCTTTGTGTACAGTAGTCCCTCATTTATCACGGGGGATCTGTACCCTGAAGCCCCGCTATAAGTGAAAAACTGCAAAGTAGGAATCGTAGTACAAGTAATAAGTAGGTTTATTTTAGTATGCATATATATATATATATATATATATATATATATATATATATATATATACATACATATATATTATATGAGCATTTTAAACCCTTCCCACAGTCTGGCAATATTCTAACAATGTTTCTAAACTCTAAACGCTCTAAAAGAGCACAGCATGTCATGATCTCAGCTCTCTGCCTCCGGCTGCACTCTGCCCTCTCGGCCACGCCCTATTATCCGCTGCAGAGCAGAGATATGACACGCTGCAGGAAGAAGCTTCGCCTGCAGCTCTGGGCTGCACACAGGTGCAGCAGGCGCTAAATAATTTAAAATAAATTATTTTAAATAAAAATTCCATGCCGATTGTGCGGCTCATCCATCAATCAGCCTGATAATGATTGATCTGTGTCATGTCCAATCTTACGTTGAAATACCGCGATAGAGCGAGTCTGCTCGAAACTAACTGCAAAGTATAGAGGGACTACTATACTGGTTTTTACCTTCAGGGCAGTTTGCTGCGGATATTCACCGCTGTATTATTTCCTTCACACTGTCATATGGATCTGAATCAAACAAACCTTTAGACCCTTTTAAGGTTGGCTTCTTGGGTTGCTGTTTCTCTAAAACCTCCTGAGACCTCTTCAGACCTTTCCTCACTTCTTTTTTCATTCCGACAACCTAATTGCTGTGTTGCATCTTTCAAAATGGCAAATGGGGTTGAGAACAACCAGTGATGCTCACTTTAAAGGGCTCACAGTGTCTAGGATAGATTTTACTGTAGCTGTTTGCTTTTTCTTCCTTCCTGTGCGCACATTTCCTTTTCATATTATGAGAACTCTAAAAATAGACGTATGCCATAGTAAGAATGGAGATTGGAACCCAGAATGCAGCTCAACATGAGCAACTCAAAATGTAAAAGATTTCATAATCACCTACGAACAATCACAAAACAAACAAAAGGCTGACGTGGCACCAAAAAGATACAAAATAACAAACTTCTACAAGACACTGAGGAAAATGGGACAGGGCCTATGAAGCACCTTGCCAGGGTTCCTAGCAACTCTGGAAGTCAGGGAAAACCTGGAAAATTACTTACATTTTCCAGACAGTGAAAATTCAGGGAGTTGGAGAAAAACATAAAAAAACAGAGAAATCTCTGGGAATTGGAACACTTATGTGGTGATTCAAAGATAACTTTTCCGAGAATTTAACGTGTACATGTATTAATGCTATTATTATTGAGTGAGTCCGTGTTCTGCTTCTACGGTGTACATAATACATGTATCCTTACCAGAGCCAGGCTGTGGCATAGGCAGTATAGCCAAATGCTAATGGTGTCATCCATCCAGGGGGCACCACTAATAAGGGGGGAAAAAGTGTGACTTTCTTATATTCAAACTAACAGGTAATATTATTTTCTTATGTTAAAAAAACTATTTAAGCTGCATAAAAAAGAATATTAAATACTACTACTACTACTTTTAATAACAATAATACTTTGCTTAGCTCGCATCCTCCTCCTCCACTACTTAGACTGTACCTGCTTCCATGCGCATCACTATCTTGCTGTGTACATGTGTACACTGAAGAATATAAGAAAGCTTCACAACTTTTTTATTAGGAGGTATTTGAAGTTTATTTAGTAACAGAACCAGCTGCATACAATACTCAAGTATCCTTTAATGCAGACTTTAATATGCATACTCAACAAATATATTGTACTATGCCCAGATAAAATGTTGTAAAATATTTAAAGTTGATTTAGTATGTAGACTAGAGAAAAGTCACTGGTTACTCAGGGTTATGAAAGCAACTTGGTCTGTGTTACCTACCTGGTAGATTTGTCAGGATAGCCTGCTTTGTTACTGCATAAATGCTACATGTATATGGTACAGAAGGTATGTTGTGATAAAAGTACAAAATGTTGCAGTCAATACAAACTCATGGTGTTCAGTGTGTTAAAAGAAAACAAAACAAGGGTTATTCAGTTTTCGAGTATGATTTCAGATGAAGTTCAGCATAAAGGCTGGTTGTCAGTCAGTGTTCTACCTTCATAATATACTGAATTTATGTTGTTTTGTTAACCCT